GCTAAAGCGCAGCTAAAGTGCAACTCAACTAAAGTGAACTTAAAACGCAGCTAAATGGCAGCTAAAGCGCAACTAAAAGGAAACTAAATGACAGCTAAAGGACAACAAAATGGCAGCTAAAGGACAATAAAATGACAACTAAAATGTAGTTATGTCATCAAAAGCATATGTCATTAGGCTAAATATGATGACTATATGAAAAGTGAAATAAGTTATATATGGGGGATAGGCCCGCACAAATCAAGGCGAAAGACCCAATGAGATAAATCTATACTCTCAATTTTATAAGTTGAAAAATTTGACTCAACCCTAAATGAAAGAACAACTTACATTCTAAAAGTTGAAAAGTTTGACCCAACCTTGAATTAGAAAACTGAAATAGTGCAAAAGCTTATAGCCATTATATGACTTGATTAAAGATGTTGAATAGTTTTGCCAAGATTAATACTACTAGACACTTTTAGGCTCAATGTGAAATTTCAATATGTGTTTTAACTATATTAGCATTGTTAAGCATTTTTTAATTGTTTATTATTATTATTTATTTTATAAATTGCTTGTGTATTTCATTAAGTCTAATTCATTAGCGGTGGTTGTACTGTAGGAAAGGGGAAGGAGCCCTTGGAACAGTAAAAAGATGTGATCGTTCTTTTGGTGTAAATATGTTTTGGGTGTACAAAAATATCTAAAACGAGATTTGAATACTAGATGTTTAAACTTTTGGGTATGTGAATAAATTTTAAAAATTTTAGTATAGCTCTATAGTTACTTCAATTATATTTGATGTTCATTAAGAGATATTATATGCTTTCCATTATTAATTATGGAATAGGATAGGTTGGCAAGTTCTGAGAGTTTAAATAGATTTCTTTTGCTCACCCTATTTTGAAAGTAGTGGCTCGAAATAGGTGTTAGTAAGAAGGAATCAGTTTAAATTTTCCTTCTCTGTTATTCTCCAGATTGACCATTAGGAGGTAGGCCAAATTGGGGTGTGACATACTTGACCTTAGAGAGCATGTTGGATACTATACAACCTTTAGAGGCTATGTTCACATTTATACATTGGTTGAGTTGTGCTTGGGCGAAGAAGACTAAGAGAAAAGGGATTATAAAGATTATTTTAAATAACAGATTTTGACAAAGTATCTTATATGTCATTATAACCACTAGACCTTTAGTTCAAGTTTAAAAGATGGTGGATGCTGAGAAGAAGCTTGTAATGAGTTTCATCTATAATATCATGGATGAAGCCAAAGAAATGATTGCCTCCAACTTAGGAAGCAAAGAGAATAGCTTTAGAGAAATTTGAAATATTATTGATGATAGGTGAGAGCTACAGCTTTACTGGGACTTACATACAGCTGGCTATTACCTAAACCCTCAGTATTAATATGTAGAAAATAAGTCTATAAACCCTGAAATAAAGTTAGGATTGTATCATTATATGGATTTGCTAATAAGTGATGCAACTGAAATATAAAATGCTGACATGCAATTGGCAATTGGTACCTTTTAGGAATAAAGAAAGCTTTTTTTTTATTTCAACAAGCAAATGATATAATTGCCAAACAATCTACAGATAATTTTATTTAATATTTTAAACCTTTATTTAAAAATTTTTTACGCACTAATTAAATTTTCTTATATAAATATTAGTTGAATGGTGGATTAAAATTGGTGATGGAACTCCAGAATTGCAGCGTTTTACTGTGAAAGTTTTGGCCTTGACATACTCTTCATCTAGCTGTGAAAGAAATTGGAGTACCTACAACCAAGTACATACAAGAGGAGAAATCACTTGTCGACATTGAAGATGAATTCACTAGTGTAAATTATGTACAATAGAAGACTTAGAGATAGGAATTTAAAAAAAAATAATAATTAATAGATGATAAAGATCATTTGTTTTGCAAGGAAGTGGCATATGATGATGAGTAGTTTATAAATAATGAAGTTGAAGTGATACCGTCTGAATTATAATATGAAGATTTAAATGTTGATTTCTTTGATGATCTTAAAGCATCTACATCCACCAAAACTCAAAAACAAATAAAAAAAAGATAGTGATGACATTCCTGGTGACTTATGAGTTCTTATGTGATATGTCATTGTCATTTATTTTTGGAATTATATGTTAATGAAAAGAATACTGTGATTTGGAAAAAATGAAGTTTGAGTTGAACTATATTTCATGTTATCTTATTATTAGAATATTTCAATTTTACTTCATATCTTGTGCATTTTTATGTTTTATATATTATTTACTCATTAATATTGTTGACTGTATAAAAAAAAATTAAATTAGAACAAAAAAAAATCAAAGCAGCGCGCCTACCTCCAAGCCGGCCCCACCGCGGGCAGTTGGTCGCCAAACGACGCAACGATTCGTCCACCGACTCTCTCGACAGAAACCGACATACTCACGACTTAAAAAAACAACGCTCTCTCTTATTCGTTTTTTTTTCACACATTCACGCTCTCAGAAGGGAAAGAAGATCGCAAGCAAAGAACGAAAGAGGAACTTCGGAACTTACCTCTTGGCTCCGTCGAACTTCAGGGCGTCCTCTCCAACCTCCTGCTCCGACGTGCCCTAATCGGTCGGACCTTCCGAACTCGTCTCAGCCTGCCGACGCCGGACCACCCTGCCGCCGACTTCGCCGGACCCGCCGACGCCA